TTTCCCCCTACCTTCAGTGTGTATAACTCCCGCAGTTCCATTCTCAGGATCTCGCTCTTCACAGCCTCACACGTCATAGTGACATAACTAGAGGAGAGCATAGGGGAGTTTCCCCTCTGCCTTCAGTGTATATATAACTCCTGCAGTTCTACTCTCAGGATCTCACTCAGCCTCACACCTGGCTGCCAGCAGAAGACTACAAATTACTAACCAGGGAGGGTTAATAACCCAAGAAAGCCAAGCAGTGTGGCTTATTCCCACTAAGATCCCTTTTAGGTCCTCTCAGGATGCGATCCACAGAAGTCGACTAGCTCATAACTCCTGCCTCCTAACTTGCTACTAGGTAACAGGGGACAACAGGCTTCAGATTTGCCCATACGTCTCTCCCTCCAAGATTCGACTTGATCCCTTTCAAAGATCAAAAATAGTTATAATTATAACCATAATTTTTAAAGGGGTGGACCGGTAAGCCAGCAGAAAGCCTCTCGAAGATGACCAAAAACTCCAGCGGTGAGTCATCAACATCACTGTACAGTTAAAAAATCTGTAGAGTTAAAGCATATTTATGCTCAGCAATCATCTACCATACACACAAGTATATATACAGCTAAAACGAAAAAGATATACCGATGTGAAATCTTCAGTGACTCAGGATTTTCAACAAGGTTTGGAGGATCTCAGGAGTAAACATTAACTACCTTGTTAGCAATAACTACACAAATTCCCCCAGTACACACACAAACGAAACTCTCCAGTCATTAGTTACTCAAACACTTAACATGATGACGCAAAACCAAAACAATGTTTGAGATACAAGAATAACAACAACAATCCCGCTTTATGTTTGGCAAATATTCAATGTAATAACAAAGAATTTATTGTACAAGTGACAAAATAGTTTAACTGACAGACTTGAAAAAGTATACAGCCAATTTTTAGGAAAAAAATAAAAAAACTTAAACCTGTCTGGGGTCTTACAGCGCCTGAAAAAAAGGGCAATCAGGTTCGATCCAAGGGAGGTGAGGGCAGCTCAAATTACTTGGCATCAGGAGCCTTCAGCAAAGTCAACGACACCCTAATTCTTAAAAGGATCAAGAACCTTTCACTCGTATCAGGATACCTCACTGAGGGATCTAGAGTCCTTGACTAGCATTAAGGGTACCCTTCTTGAATAATTAAGAGCATTCAGCAGAATCAAGGACACCCTAAATAATAAAGAACCATTCGCCAGCATCAAGGACACCATCCTTGAAGGATCAAGAGCCATTCATCAGCATCAAGGATACCTTCCATGAAGTCTCAAGATCTATTCACCATCAAGGACACCCTCCTCAAAGGGACAAGTTATGCAAACGTTAGGACACTGCCTTGAAGAAAATACCTTCCTACAATAACCAAAAATGGCACCAACTCCTTCCCACGTGGAAGTAATTCTTAAAAAGTAATTTCCTCGTTTATTTACAGTACATCGTAGAAAGTCCTTTCCTCGTGGATGTACCTCTTAGAAAGTCCTTTCTTTGTGGATGTACCTCATAGAAAGTCTTCTTTGTGGATGTGCCTCATAGAAAATCCTTTCCTCGTGGATGTACCTACTAGAAAGTTCTTTCTTTGTGGATGTATAGTACATCTTAGGAAGTCCTTTCCTCGTGGATGTACCTACTAGAAAGTTCTTTCCTTGTGGATGTATAGTACCTCTTAGAAAGTCCTTTCCTTGTGGATGTACCTTGTAGAAAGTCCGTGTGGATGTACCTCGTAGAAAATCTGTTCCTTGTGGATGTACCTCGTGGAAAGTCCTTTCCTTATAGATGTACCTCCTAGGAAGTAGCTAATTCCACAGTCCTGCACTCAGCGAGCCCCACTGAAGGCCGCAGTCGCTCTACCTAGTCCCGCTCCAAGTGTCAGCACGTAGCCCTCCTTCACAGACGTACCATGTTGCTACACCTCTCCTATCCCTATACTTATAGTGAAGGCTCCACTAAACGTTTCAGCTTATGAACAAAAGACTATTTCCCCTCCTTCCGTGAACCCTTGACAATAATACAAGTGTCCTTCGTAAGGAAAGAAACTTTTACCATCTCATCACGGTAAACATAAGCCAGAGCGTCTCAAGAAATATGTAGTAGAATTAAGGATACATTATGTGCTAATTAACCTTGGATGTTTAGTTGCATACGGAAAGAGAAAGAGAAGTCCAGGGTAGGTTTTCCTGACAGCCAGGGTGGGTTTACCTGACGAACAGTGATTGCCTAAAGGACTGAGTTTACCTGAGGATGGAGAGAGCGAACTCATCCAATATGTCACCTAACAAAGTGTGATAAAGATGCAGACAAAAATCTTTTATTGCAACTGCGGGGAAGAAAAACAGATAGCGCTGATGAAGAGAGTTATATTACTCGCTTTAATCACCCCTTTCTCCAAAACTTCCTTTTTTTTTACATTGTAGGTCACGCAACTCAGCATAAGATGATCTAAACAATAGTCACTCATCATGATGGAGTCAGTGTAAATGTGGCCCAGCGTGAGACATCGATATTCATTTTTCTTTCTAAAACATCTGCTGAGTACAGCAATAACGAGCTGGTTACATAATCTGTGGACGCAATCACATGAAAATTACAATGAAGCATGTATAATGTGTTCCTCATTACGAGTGTAACTTGCATAGCTAGTACGTGACGGGAGGTTGACACAACAGAGCTGCTGCAGTTATGACGTTGATTGAGGACGGGGATCCCACACCCAGCGAACTATTGTGTGAAGGGCAACGGTTAGGCTACGGGTAAACCCAACTCGTGCAACTCACGCCTTCTCTAACCTTTTTCAACCTCCTCCAGCCTAACGTAACCTAACCTAATAGAGGCTAATCTTTTGTAGCCTCACCTAATGTAACGTAACCTAGCCTAACCTAGCCTAGCCTAGCCTAACCTAACCTAACCTAACCTAACCTAACCTAACCTAACCTAACCTAACCTAACCTAATCTAACCTAACCTAACCTAACCTAACCTAACCTAACCTAACCAAATATAGCCTAAATTACACAGATAACCCACACGTAGGAGAGAGAAGCTTCTCTCTCTCCTACTGTGTGCGGGTTATCTGTGTGTTCCAGTTATGGTACTGTGCCTCTTTATTCTGTATAGCCTAACTTAGTGTAACCTAACCTCATGTAGTAAAGTGAACATAATGTAACTTAAGTAAACTTAAACTAACCTAATGTAAACTAAGCAAATATAACTAAATATAATCCTGTCAAAAGTCCCATGGCCTAGTAGGCAACGTTCTCGCCTCACACACTTAAGTGTCCGTGGTTTAATCCCCGGCCGGGCGGAAGCCTACTGTCCCTGTTCATCTAGCAAGCAAGTAGGTATCTAGGCGTTAATGGACTGGTGTGGGTCGCATCCTGGGGGACAAAACTAAAGGACCCCAATGGAAATAAAAGTCATCTATGAGGCACTGACTTTCTTGGGTTATCCTGGATGGCTAACCCTCCGGGGTTAAAAATTCGAACAAAATCTTATCTTGACCTAATCAAATCTCAGCTAGCCTAAAGTATGTTAAGTACCCACACAGATGTGTCATAATCACTGATGGTCGGACCAACGAACCCACACTGAGGCGACAACACAGCAGGAAATAACAGTAATTTGTTTGTTTCGGCTGCACACACAGGCCCCCAAGGCGAGGAATAAATATCATTGTAAGAGCAACCACAATGTGTCATAAACTTTAACACAACTTGGCCACGATGAACAAGAGGAGGATTCTCTTCATTGGAGGTGCCCATTGTAAAGTACTCATTGTAAGGTGCCATTGTAAAGTGCTTATGTAAAGTGCCTATTGTAAAGTGAACAGAAGACAACAGAACAAAGAAAACATTTGTGCCCTTCCTACGACGCATGACAATGACGTCACAACATGTGGCAATATCAACAACACTTGCCACATACCATTTTCTATATCACTTCCACTCAAGATTGCAGTTTAAATGGCAGTTAATTTTTTCTAACGCCAGTGCTATACGTATTTCTCCCTCGTTCAGATCTACTACAAAATACTAACTAGACTAGCTGCAATATTATTGAGCCCCGGATAAATATATTTATACTACTATAAAGTTATTTAATATGTGAATTGTGGAGTAAAATGTATCAGGTTTCGCTATTGTTCAATTTGTTTTAAATAACCTTATTTAATATTTTAATACTGATAAGAGGTGTTTTGGGTAATAAGTTTGATAATTGACCTTTAAAACTTGGATAAAAGGTAGCAACGTCTGGGTGAGGCTCCTGGGGAACCACCGCTGATTGTGTGTAAACACCTGCTGAGACATGTGCAGACCTCGTGATAGGCATATCATACATCTGCTGCTAGGTGCACACACCTAGCACTGGATGCTCACATATCCCCTTAGATTCACACACCTGCTGCTATCAACACGCCCTCAAAATCTTAACACAATTCGTCAACGCACTCAGACTAGTGATGGAAGGTGTATCATTAAGCGAACAAAGCCAGACAACAACAGAGAAAACTTTTCAGCCTTGTGTTCAATGCCACGACGTTTATTGGCGTTATCACTTCCAGTTTCTGAACATGAACACGAAATCGCGTTATTCCATGGCAAAGAGACGTGATATTCTATCAGTTAAGGTATTGTGATGTTCAAGTAATGACTGATAGTCACTGCTCCGTTCGCTTACAAATATAAACTTCATTTAACAGATATAGTTGCAATAATCTTATAATCTATTTAAATACATCACTGGTATACGGGAGGTTGTTGAGGCAAATTTCACATACAGAGTTTCAAGAGTAGGTATGGTAAATCTTAAAAGAGGGCAGGAATCAGCAAGCGCTACTCAATTTAGAAGTGAAGAGGCTGTGCCAGGAGGCAAGTCCCTACTAGCCCCGCAAGCACTACTGACACTGTCTGGCCCCTGCAAGTACCCGGAAGTGACCCCCGGTCAACGTGAACCTGCTTTACACTACTTTACTCAC